CCGCCAGGACAGCCCCGCCCCTGCGAGCGCAACAGGGGCCAATCAGCTCCCGCTGCGGCAAGCTACAGCCCCGCCCATGGGGGGCTGCGACCACCAATCAGCAGGAGCGGTTGACAGGCAAGGCCAATCAGAAGTTTGCCGAAGGGTGCCAGCCGTGGGAAAAGAATCCGGCCGCTGGTCGGAGCTAAGCAGCGCGGTCGTGGGACGGACCCGAGGCCTGACGGGCAAGGGGCGAGACCAATGGCAATGCGCGGGGGGCGGCCTGGTGCGGGAGGCCCAAAGGGCCGGGGTGAATGGGCGGCTTTGTGCGCAAGGCATGAATGGGGGCCTTTGTAAGGGCCGCGTGGGGTGGGGGTGCTGGAGGCCGGAATGCCTGGGTCCCCAGGGAGCCGCGGGCGAGCGAGACGAGAGAGAGAATTCACTTTTGTCCGACGCAAACGGACAGCACTCGCCCAGGTTCTCACCCGCCAGAGTGGCGCGGGCGGTGATACTACCATCAGTAATAATAATGATCATGTACTGAGCGCCTGATGTATGCCAGGAGCTGTGCTAAGCGCGTTACCTGCATGATCTCATGGAATCCTTACAATGACCCTCTTGAAATTGGTGCTATTAAGATCTTCATCTTCCAGATGAGGTAAACCGAAGCTTAAAAAGATCTTAAATGCCCCAAGTCGTAGAGCTGGCAATTAGTAGCACGGCTGGGATCCCTCCAAATTGGACTCTAGAACTTGTGCTTGTAACCACTCATGCTATGCCCAAATGTGGGGTTCTGAGTTCCAGCTTACAGACGGGGAAACTGAGGCTCAGGTGAGGCAAGATACTTCCCAAAGACATAAGAATTATTGATTTGGGGGCCAGCAGGTGGCGTGGTGGTTAAGGTGCTGGACACTCCCACATGGGCAACCACGCTGGAGTTCCTGACCTGGTGGTTTGCTTTCTCACTTTCTCTCTTTCTCTGTGTCTCTCTCCAGTCAAATTAAAATAAATGAATGAATAAATAAAAGTAAATAACTATTTAAAAAAATAAAGAACTATTGATTTGGGGACCAGCAGGTGGTGTAATGGCTACATCGCTGGACTCCCACATAGTCAACCACGGTTTGTGCCCTTGACCCAGCGACTTAAAACTCATGCTGTGTGTGTGTGTGCGTGCGTGTGTGCCCAAAATCCTTAGGGGAGAATGGAGAAGAAGGGATTGAAAAGTGGCCATTCCTGGCGGGGGTGGGGGTGTTTTTTTTTTTTGAACTTGCCATAGTCATCAGAGAGAGACAGAAATGAGAAAGCAATCCACCAGATCTGGGAACCAGCAGTTAGCGTAATGGCTATGTCGCTGGACTCCCACATAGTCGACCGCGGTTCGTGTCCCGGACCCGGTGGCTTAAAACTCACGCTGGGCGCGTGTGCATGCGTGCCCAAGATCCCGAGAGGAGAATGGAGGAGAAGGGATTGCGGCGTGACCATCCCCCCTGGGGGGCGATTTCTCGCTTTCTGTCTCTATGTCTCTCTCTGTCTGTCTGGCGAGCGCACGCGCCCTACAGCGAAAATCTCTCAAAAAAAAAAAAAAAAGAAAGAAAGCAATCCACCAGATCAGAGACTTGAATCAAGATCGGCCATGTGGGAGTCCAGCACCTTAATCACCACACCACCTGCTGGCCCAGGGATAGGTACATCTGGGATCCTCTTTCGATGGATGTATAACTGAAGCTCAAAGACATGAAATTCCTGTGCCCAGGGCACTGGTGAAGTCTATGGACTGGGACATAACTAGATTTCAAACAGAAAAGAAGGCTCTGGCACCACAGTCTAACCATAATTGGCCTGGTAACTGGTGATATCATCATCCCCACTTAGGGCTAAATCTACCTGGAAACTAGTGATGTCATCACTGCGATCAGTGTCTAATCTGCCTGGTAACTGTTAATTCTGCTCACTCTATGGGAAAAACGATCACATCACTGAGTGATAATATTGAGCTTCTTTTCACTGAGGGCATTCTATGAGCTGGATAACTGTGCTAAACACTTTAACAGTTGCTGGTATTTATTCCAGGCACAGTGCTAAAAATGGAATTAAAGTATGAGTATTTGGGGATCAAGAATTTTTTAAATCCATGCATATTTTTTTCATAATATGCATTTTCCATGAATGTTTTGAAGACCTTGTGTATGTGTATGTGTGTGTCCCATAATCCTCTCAATATCCAATAATTCTAGTAAATACTAATGTCATACCCATTTTACAGATGAGGACACTGAGTCGTGGCTACCCGAGGTTGCCGGATAGAAAGTGGAGTGGATTCAAACCACAAAGTCTGGCTCCATAGCTTGGGCTACAGGGATAAGAACACCAGAGAGAGACTGAGACCCAGAAAACTGAGTCCAGAGGAGGCATTCCACTGCCTCTGGGCCCTCCATCTGCCCCCCACCAAAGCCTGACAGAGAAGTAGGGAGGGGACTCAGATGATGCGGGCGGTTGGAACACCAGGATGGACGTGTACTGGGAAAAAGGAAACGAGAAGGTGTGAGCGCTCTGAATCTCCGGGGAACAGGTTTCCTGCCAGTGGCATAGTCCTTGAGCCTAACCTTGTTCTGCAGAATCTGAATAAGGGCAGCCCACTGTGGGAAAAGCCAGCGGGCTTTTGACTTGTGATAATTCAGTGCCTTATAAGGCTGCAAGCCCTACAGCCAGCTGACTGCGGGTTCAGATCCCTGTGCTGGCTTGAAAACACACTAGACGCTCAAGGGGGCACTCGCAATCCCCAGGATGGGGATTAGGGGATTGCAGTATGATGAGACCCTAGGAGGGTGCTTCTCTCTCTCTCTCTTACTTCCTCTTGTATGTGCATATAATCATTACTTTTTTTTTTTTTTTTTATAAAAAGTTGGACTAACCAGTGGCATGGTGTTTGGAGCAGCTGGATACCATATGACTGACCACATGTTTTGAATCCTGGACCTGGCAGTTTGAAAAACACTAGACACATGCTCAGACATCCCCAAAATCCTAAAAGGAGAAAGGGAGGAGAAAGGATTGTGGTGTGGCCAATCCCTTTGGAAGGTGTTTTCTCACTTTTTC